GTACAAATAATAGAACTCCAATAATATTCTCACACCAAGAGATAACCAAATTCCTTCTTTGTACAAAATTGCATCAGACATAACCCTGTAATCCTTCTAGAATTGTTGCCGCATTCAGTACCTGGAAGATCTGCGGCTTCCAATTTCTTAGCTCAAATTCTATGAATGTCTTCGTAAAAAGAAAAAAAAAAACGCTTTGGCAACTGCACCTAGTTTCTGTCTGTGTTTTAATGCCTTTACCGTTTCTTGGTTGTGGTAAATTGAAGAAAAGAATCTACCTTGGTTCCTGTTACTATCGAACGAAATTTAAAATTCTGTTAGCTAAACAGAAGACGAGAAACTTTATAATAATAAAAGTCAAGACAGAACACACTTTCTGGAAACTGGATTTTAGTCTTGTTAACTAATGGCCACTTCTATTTCATACTTGGCCATGATTGCAGTGGTCTCTTTATACCAATTAGCATTGGATTCTTCACTCGAGGAGGAACTCGAATCAGCGGCAGCATTTGGTGGCTTGACTGCAGTTTTCCCGAACAGTGAATGAGTGGGTTTAGGAGGTGGCATAATCTCCACTCCTCCTTCCAGCATCTTTACCACGGCACTCATTCGTGGCCTAGCTCTTGGCGAGTCTTGAGCACACCACAATGCCACTAATGACATTCTCTCTGCCTTTTCCATATCCTCCTTTTTAATCCCATAACTTTTTATTAGTTCAGCCAATTCACCCTTCTGGTACTTATCCAACACAACCTTTGGAAACCATTCTAGGCTTTCAGAGGAACCACTAACCTTGTTTTTAATCATCCCAACTATCTCAAACAACAACATTCCAAAACTATACACATCACATTTGTAAGTTATGGGATGATTTCCCATAAAAAACTCTGGGGCAGAATAACCAAAGGTTCCCTTGAATCCGGTAACTGAATCATGAGTACTGTCCCTGTTGCAAAGCTTTGCAAGCCCAAAATCTGCAACTTTAGGGAGGAAGTTTGCATCAAGTAGAATATTGGCTGGCTTTATATCATAGTGAATAATTCTCTGTTGACATTCTTCGTGCAAGTAAGCAATCCCTTTGGCTGTCCCCACCGCTATTGCATGTAATTTTTCCCACTCAATCATCTCCTTCTTCCCAAACAAGTAATTATCAAGCGATCCGTTTTCCATGAATTCATATACAAGCGCAATTGTATTTCTATCATAGCAAAAACCATAAAGTCTAACCAAATTAATGTGGTTTGTTCTTCCAATTGTGCCTATCTCTGCCATGAACTGCTTTTTTGCTGCTCCCTCATATTTTTCCTTGAGCAACTTCACTGCAATCTTGACTCCATTTGGAAAATGCCCTTCATAAACATCCCCATATGCCCCAGACCCCAACCT